GGCCATAAGAAGATCATTTGTAACCTTCACTAAAGCTGTTTCTGTGCTGTGATGAACTCTGAAACCTGACTGAAACTCTTCAAACATCTGCCGGTATCTGAGCTGTAAGTCTCATCATCAGCCCAGAGATGAAACACAGATGTGTCACAAGCTGGTGCCGAACCCAAGCCGAGATAAATGTGAGGGTTGTGTCAGGAAGAGGATCTGGTGAAAAATCTGTGCCAAATCAAATATGGGGATTCATTATGTGTGGCAATTCCTTTGGTAATAAGGAAGGAGCCAAAAGTATTGTTAGAAACAGCCGTGAAAACCTTTGAATTCAAGTGTTTTTAATCCTTTTTCCCAGGTTTTTGAACATGAAAGTTATTTGTAGTTGTGGTTGCTCATTTTCTTTTTGTTTTGCTTTGTTTATTTGTCTCTTTTAATTCTATGCTGTTGTACTTTTTTTTAACATGTTCAAAATAAAGATTCAATCAATCAATCAGGTGTATAAAATCAAGGACCTTAGCCACATGGATTGCCTTGACAAACATGTATGAGAAAGAATGGGTCGCTCTAAAGACCAAACTCAATTCCAGCATGGCGCTATAACAGGAGGTCAGTTTGCAACACTTCTTCCCTCATAGACTTACAGCTGATTGTGGAATTTTATTGCAAAGTAAAATTGTTTAGGAGCCACAGCAACTCGGCCTCCTCTGGCATTAACATCAGCACAGAAACTGTGTACCAGGAGCTTCATGGCCAAGCTGCTCCTGCAGCTGCAATATGTAGGCTGCCCAGAGTTTTACCGGAAATATTTTATTTGAAAAACAGTTTAAATAATTGAACTAATCCAAAAAAATCACCAACTAACTTTCTATTATTTGACTAACCGAATAATTCACAAGTTAAGTTAAGCTTCAGGCCTACAATAAAACACCAAAAAGCAAAAGGTCAAAAACAGAGGCAGAAACCAAACAACTGTAAGAGAACGCTGAGGGAGTGTAATGTGAAGACCAAATGGATCTGGCAGAGGCAATAAAATCACCACAACAGACGGACGAGGTCTATAATACAGAAAATCTACAACTGCACGGAAAAAACACGTGCAGCTGAGAATAACCAGCATCTCAGAGTTTCCACTAAATCTCTCAGAGAAACACAAAGAGAGCCACGGGCTACCAGGCTCTCGCTGTAACGCACAGCAGTAACTCCAGTATCCCGCTGCATCTGAACGTCATCTTTACACCACAGTACGACACACTGACATGTGTGGACATAAATACACACTCGAGGCCCGCGGAGAGCATTCACGCACGGACAGAAGCTGCATTCAAAGGACCTGAAAAGCTCTTTTTTACTCTGCAAACACACGAGCCAAGCACACAGTCAGTGTACTCATACGCTGTCATAACTTGTCATAGGCATTTCCGAACCCCCCCCCTCGGGTGAGGATCTCATTTATAAAAACACGCGCGCACACACACATACATAAAAGAAAACCCACAAGCTGCGCAATAAGACAAGACACTTGCCAAAGAGCCAGAGGTGTAAGACCGAGAGAACTGCTGAGAAAGCTGCACATAAATCATTGGGTAATCTCAGCTGCAAACCTGACGCTATGTAGAAAAATTGCAAATGGAAACTGAACTCAAACAAATCCACAGAAAGCAGCAAAAACAGCAAACAGATGCTGAACAGGGTCTACAGGTGTGGGGGTATTTCTAAACTCATCCCGAGCTATCTGCTGCTATTTTAATATCCGCGTAACTTTCTGATTTCTTTTCCCAGTCTTTGGCTTTTCTTCACACATTTCTTACCATAAATCCAACTCTTTACCTTCTGTCTGGCAGTTCTCACTCGTGGGCACAGCAGCCGTTCCACCAGTTTTTCTTGCAGCATGATGGCATCCATCCTAAACCGCTCCGACACTGACGGACCAAAATAGCCGCTGGTCTCAGAAAGTTAAAAAACAGCCCAGCAGGGAGGCGGAAAGGCAAATTTGAATGCTCTAGACCTTGATAGCTCTGTCTCAAACACACTTCCCTCCTGTTTATGAGCTTTAAATGTGTTCCTCCTGCTCTCCTCTTGACTCCCTTTCTTCTCTTTTCTCCTTTGTTTTCTTTATTTCTTTTTCTCCTCTGCCCTACAGCGGTCTTACGCTCCCTGCTCAGACAGGTATGGAGGAATTCTCGCTGAGAAAGAGAGAGAGAGGGAGCAAGAGAGAAGTGGCAATTTGAGGGAGGAAACAAGGGAGGGATGGAAGGAACGAAGGTCTAAAAGAAACTCATTCATTCGGTCTGTATTCCCTCCCCCAGCTCCAACAGTACAAAAATAAATCCTTACACTGAGAGAAATGACTAACAGCTCGCAGAGAGAGCGACAGAGGGGAGAGAAAGTGTACTATATTGTAAGATAAAGAAAAATAAAGGAACGTGTTTGAGCATGGCAGTGACAAAAGTTGCAGTGCAAACAAATGATAACTGCAAGTTCGGGCCTGCAGGGTAACACAATCAGATGATCGAGTCACTTGTCAGTCAAGCGAAAGCTCTGTATCTGCTGCCTTTGCTATTAGCCGAGGCATCTGTGTTTTACTGCAGGTTTGCAGTGACAGTCGGTGACGGAAGAGGACCAATACAACGAGTAAAGGTTTTACATTATGAGTAAATATTCTTCTTTTAAACTCTTATGTAAGTGCAGGGGTTACAGCAAAATTAGATAGATAAATTAAATAAATAAAAGCACTCCAAAAAACACACTTGTGACTGATATTTCTACATCATTCACTCGGTATTTGAATATTTTACTGGTCTGATGAGTCATGAGGAGAAAGTTGTACCACATAAATGTGCAGTCTACCTTTTTTTTTTTTTTTTTTTTTTTAAATACTTGTTAAGTTAGGCTAAACATAAATTCTTATAAGGATTCACAACCCAAAAATGAGGGAGTCACTGTGATTTTGATGCCTGGCCTGTCAGACCCTTCATGCGTGTTTCCCTTGGCTCTCTTTACACATGTTTCTTCTACCTGCTCTGAGCCAGCTGAGTAAAGAGTACAGTGAAGCAGCTCTATCAGAAAAAAACAAATACAAGAAATGAAATTTGATAAGAATCTTGCATATTTTTTTTATTTTAAATTGTATTTTGCAAGTAGCACAGCAGTAACTTAACTACAAGACTTTAAATTAACAAACAGGTTAAATGCAGTTAGCAGTGGTTATGTGTGTGTTTTCAAGCACCTTAAAAGAAGCATTAGAGAGATTCAAAAAACGCTGGAAACACTGCCGCACATCAGAGAAAATGAATGTTTGGGAAAGTCCAACTCCTGACCTTAAACCTGCTGAAATGCTGATATAACCAAAAGGACAGTGCAATAAGGACCAGGTATTTTTCTGTAAAGAGGAATTTAAAGGTTTTATTCCAGACTGAAGAACAAACAGCAGCGCTGTAATGAAATCACTTTTTAACTGCTGTGTTCTACAAAAATCACATTTTATAATCAATCAGTGCAGATTCCCTGGTAACTATGAAGGTTGGTGTAGTTTGAAGTTCATGTGCATCGTGTAAAAGCACATAAACATATATAATGCAGACATAACCAGATTCATTATCTGTCTTTATGCTAAGGAGAGCAAGCCAGCTTCTCGCAGTGGCTTCACATTTACTGTACACACGCACACACACACACACACACACACACACACACACACACACACACACACACACACACGAGTGATATCAGAGTTCTGATCTCTTATCAAGAAAGGCCCCCAAACCCCCCAAACTGTCACATGCTGCGTACTTTAAATAATTCAGGTTTATTTTTTAGGTCAGTGAATAAATCATTTTGTTATGCTGTATACCCACGGTGTGATTTTCAGTGGGAACATGCACATACTTATGTGCTGCTGCTACAAACTGCCAGTCTGGACTGAAATAAGAAGGATGTAAAGAAATCACTGGGCACTGTAGGAGTGTGTATGCATTTCTGTGTGTGTGGAGATAAACGAGGTACGTTTCATGGCAGAGGCTGGACTCGATTGATTCCAGATGTGACTGTGGTGTGTGTATGTCAGCGTACGATGGGATGGGTGTGTTCGACTTGTGCATGACGTGGGCAGCAGAGCTAAAATGCTCTTTGAAATAACAGAAGCTAGGCTTTTAAAGAAGAATACTGTTTTTTTTCCCCTGAAAAGGAATGCCTCGCAGTGACGCCACGTATGGCGTGTGAGCACCTCGCTCCACGCCACAGGAGGGAGACAGAGGACTGAACTGGGACAAAAAGTTAATGGTTTCAGCTTCTTGGTAAGTTTTCTCAGCTGAGAGGAAGCAAATTGAAACGTCACAAATGGCAGATGAAAAGTTTACGGTCATTGTAGACAGAGAATGTGAGTGTGTGTGTGTGTGTGTGTGCGTGTGTGTGCGTGTGTGTGTGTAGGGCAGAGGGAGGCCCAATCAGAATAAAAGAAAGGAACAGATGTCTTGAAATGCTCTTACAATAGCCCGCCCCCCACCATCTTTCACAATGGCCAGCTGTCCCTTTCTGTCTCCGTCTCTCTCTCACACACACACACACACATGCAGACTCTGCTGATGTCACTTCACAAAGTATTCATTTAAACTTCTTGCTTTATTGATTGCTGAGTAAAGTCAAAGGTCTTGTATAATTTTTTCTTTCATGTGCTCATCTTATGCCTTGCTGCCACTTGAACTTCATGGGTAACACCGAATAAACACTTTAACTGAATATTACACAGCAGATTCACTGACCCTAAAAATAAACAGAGTCCTTCTGAAGCCACAGAATTGGCTTTATTTAAAAGGCAAAACTTGTATTGAAAATATGACTGGAGTCAAAAATACCAGCGTTTATTTTGAGACGGTATGCTCAGATATACTCACTAACAAGTCTTGACAACCAGGTAATAAAGATTTTTTTTTTTTTAAAAAGCATTAACATCATTAAAAAAAGACTGTTTTGGATCAAAATAGAGTTATTGCCTAAGATGACTTAGACCTCAGAGTGTTCAATCAACATCTGTGTATCCTCCCTATGGAAGTGCAGATGAATATGATTATATATGAATATTTTACCCTTGATAATCCAAAAGCAGTGATGATGTCTGTAAATTGAATGTTCTGCTAATTTTTCAGTTTTAGTGGTAAAACTTGGAAATATCTTTTGAATCTTCAGTTTAAAAACACAAATCTGAAAATATTTGGCATTTTTGCTGTTTATGTTTATTTCTTTATAACTAACAAGAAGAAGAAACTTTTTGGCTGTCAGAATATTATTTCTGGATCTCTGCCTAACAGTATCTTTGCCAATATGTGGGACGATCCTGTTAGGCAGAGATCCAGAAATCAGCCACTCGCTCAGCAGGCAGCGCTCAACTTCCTCCTCTCAGTAATACAAAGCTGTCTTTAAAGGAAGTGACTCTCAAAGGCTCACAGCAGTTATCTCCTCTGCTACACAAACACATGAAATCGCATGTCATCACTCTGGATGTGGCTGAAGGAGGAACAACAGTTGATGAGACACAGTTTTGCTGATGAAAACTTTAAAAATCTAAATTCATCATGAAAACTTTTTCAGACTGCAGAAACAGAGATTTCTACCATCAACGTTCAAGCTGCTTGTTTTTACAACATCATGATTATCCAGCATATGTGTGCAAATAAAGTAGTACAGTACATACTGTAGGACCGTTATCTGAAGTAACAGATATGCAGTGGTCAAAAACCAGTTATAAAAACAAAGCTTTATTATGGTAAATGGCCTGCATTTGTATAGCGCTTTTCTAGTCCCTAAGGACCCCAAAGCGCTTCACACTACATTCAGTCATTCACCCATTCACACACTGGCGATGGCAAGCTACATTGTAGCCACAGCTGCCCTGGGGCGCACTGACAGAGGCGAGGCTGCCGGACACTGGCGCCACCGGGCCCTCTGACCACCACCAGTAGGCAAACATGGGGTTAGTATCTTGCCCAAGGATATTTGGCATGCAGCCAGGAGGCAGCCTGGGATCGAACCACCGACCTTCTGATTAGTGGCTGACCTGCTCTGCCACCTGGGCTACAGCCACCCAAATTATGTTTAATAGGTTTTGAAACTATAAAATCCTCAAGGCAAATATTTGCTGAGATCAGATCATGAGGTGCAGTGGTTGGTTTCCTCACTGACTTCTGTACAATAGACTTCTTTTGAAACAAAAAGCCTCCCTGTTGGTTATCAGAAAAAATGAAAGATTTAAGTCTCTTCTGGACAGATGTCACTTTTCAGACCAAGAAGTTATTCTAAACTTTTAAACAGAGAATGTTTAAACAGGGCTTTAGCAGACAGTATAAAAGATCGACACACAAACCCACTGGCATGCCTGGAAATGTACCCTTTTTGCAAAATAAGAACTTTTATTTACTTTGACCTGAAAGAAGCGACTGAGTCCATAAACTCATAAGGAAACTGTTTACTGAGGTCACAGAGGGAAAGCGTTGAAGGCTATTTTCCCATAAACTTCTACAGCACCAGAAGTCTTTTTGCAAATCACCCTCTGGTGGCCATTAACTAAACAACAGGTTAGAAGCAGTTCTGCACTGACGTATCCAAGCTAGCATGGGGCAGGAGGCGGGGTACACCTCGGCCAGATCACCAGCCTCTCACAAGACTAACACACAGAGAGAGATAAGTAACTATTCACACTTGAATTCACACCTATGACCAATTAATCTATAAATGCACTGATAAGTGAACCAAAGCAAAATCTTTATGCTTTTCAGTGGAGACTGAAGGTGGAAGGACCAAAGCACTGACCATAAATTATTGTAAAAATATATAACAGATTTTCTAAGTTGTTAGAGAAAGAGAGAGCGTGTATCCAATTATTTTCCACCCTTTTTGCTCAAAAATCTGACAGCATGCCATGATGTTGTGTAGTGGTAATAACCCGGCTTTAATTCATGTGCTTCCAGCTTAAAGCAGCCAGACGGCCTGCGATGGAGCTGTGAAGAGTTGTGACCTTTACTGTTCACTCCTCTCCAGCTCCCAGCCATCCCGCTGACACTTTCAAGCCATTAACACTGAACGCTTCCTCTAGCACACTGCCTGCCGACCGGATGGTAGCCCAGTAAAGTGAGGCAAAGGGGAAGATGAGGAGTAGGAGGGGTGAGGGCGGGTGAGACAAAGGAAGAGGGGTGCAAAAAAACAACATGAAGATGGACCCCCCTCCCTCCTTTGTTTTGTCTCCGTGGAGATGCAAAGGCCAGCATGCTCCCGGCTATTTAGCATGCTAATCTGACAGCATGTAAATGCTCAGGCAGTGATAAAAATGTTTCAAGGACATTTGGCCGCGGTTGCCCAGTTTTAGTTTTAGCATCAGCT